CCCCAAAACCCCAAAACCCCAAAACCCCTTAAAGCTAAAATGCTTGCTAAATAAATATTTTGATAAATATTATATATACTTGTAATGAAGTAATAAATTTGCGAGAACGAAAAAGTTTTTATTGTTGACGGCCTTAAGTAAGGAATTAGACGTGATGGTAGAGGAAATCTGGACTTCAGAGAATTCAAAATAGAACTAGGAACTATTCCTCATGCTTTCGGGTCTTCCTCTTTGATATTTGGCGAAGAGGATATAAACATAATTTGCGCTATTAAAGCTGACTTACAAAAGCCTTTGCCATCTGAGCCTAACAAAGGCCAGATAAGGTTTCATCTTGAGTCTTCTCAAACTGGTTCATCACTATTTACGAGAGAAGAGTAATCAGAGCTCAATAAAAACAGACTTACAAGCATTTTAAATGCACTCTATGGAAATATCATCAATAGAGAAGAGCTAAAAGTATTTGAGGGTTAATTCTGCTGGTTCCTCAATGTAGACATCTTAGTGATGGAAGAACTATCGTTATAATAGATTGACTTTATTGGATTAGCAATCAGATCAGCCTTCTTGGACTTTTAACTGCCTTCAGTAAATGCCACCTTGTAAGTCAACTAATTAAATAATGATCTATTATAGAAATAATAACACAGGCAAAATCGAAGTAGGCTTGGTGGAAGAAATCTATGAAGATTAAGAGAACACTGATAAATTAGAAACTCTTAAATCAGCTAAGAACTCTCCTTATATATTATCGATAGGATTCATAAGAGATGAAGCAGAAGATGTTGTTGTGATAGATGCTGATGATTAAGAAAACTAATGCTTTGATTAGCTATTGCATATTTCAGTAGATAATAATTTGAGAATATATGGAATAGAGTAATCCAAAGGAAGATCTCTGCAGTCTGGTTTGCTCAGCTCCAAATTTTTCTTACAAGGTAACCTGACTAAAATACTAAAGCCAAAGATCATAGAATTCGAAAGAATTAGTTAGAAACTAATTAAATATTGATGAGAAGTGTATTGCATTGATCATTTAAGCAAACTGCATTAATTAAATCTTATGACTTCATTATAAGGTATTCCTTCTTGATGGGGTTTTGGGGTTTTGGGGTTTTGGGGTTTTGGGG